ACCCTGTACTTGTTCCTCTCTTTCCAAGGAGCACTAGAGACAGCGACGCGGACGACGAAGACGACGATCGCCGGGTGAGTCGAGGCTGCACCCTGCAGTACCAGCGGGCCCTGGTCAAGGTGCTCACACAGTTCCACACCACCTCCACAGAGGGCACTGACCAGGTTATCACCATGCTGGGACCCGACTGGCAGGTGGATGTCACGGACCTGGTGCAGGACTCCCTGAAGGTGGCTGATCCCAGGATTGCGGAGTTGGTGGACAGGACGGTCCTTGTCGGCCTGGAGCTGGGATCCACTGTGCTGAAGGTAAACTCCTTTAGACACCCAGAGATTCACATTAATCAACAGGGGACAGTTAGGAGCCTTGTAAATGACAGATGATGCATGCATTAGCTTAAAAGATGAGGAACAAAGCACATTACTCTTTACAGTACTCTCACGCCAGCGAGCAGAAGGGTGGTTCTTTTGAAGACTCTTAGCACTTTGATTAAAGGATAATGCTAGGCCTCATGTCCATAGCTGAGGCCATCGTTGCTGGTTAATCTACTAACATTGCACAGTGCCAACCAAATCAGAACAGGAAAAACAGAGCAGTAATGCCTGTAATAATCCCGCATTATTAAGGTAAACTCAGTGCATGCACAACTAAAGAAGCTGTGGTTGATAGTTACACCCAGAAGACAGACGATAAGCGGTGATGGTGGGTTGCTGCATACAATTCGGGGGTAATTTCGCAGCTCATCTTTGTTTTCACTTCTTCCCTCAAAACCCTTGTTTGTCGGTTTGATTGCTTCTTTTTCATCATGCCATGTTCCCTAAATCTCAGCAATAAATTTGACTGCGGTTTAATAACATGGAACATAACGCTGAGGTTGTCATAAACAAGATTTATCCTTGAAGTTTATAGCCTCCAGCCCTTTCACATTCGTGCCACTTTTTACCTTTTTCCTTTTCACTTGTTGTCGATTGTGAAACAATAGCCCATCAGTCTGTCTGTAAGCGTATGATGCTGTTGATGTCCGCTTCTCTCAAGCAAAAGAGCTGCTTGACATAAAGTGCATGTAAATGCGTCAACCGAGACAGGTTCAGAAGTCCTTATAAAGAAAGCGGCACAAGTTATTACTCCTGGGCTGTGATTTACGATTGCTTCACTGGTCATTTATGGGGACAGAGAGAAGTAACGGTTGGTGAGAGTTTTGCTCACCATGAAAGATCACAGTTTCCGCCTGTCAGGGGAAAGAATAGTTGCCTGATGGATGCATCTGATGGTGGTGAAATAGGGAGAGAAGATATGAGTTGCCAATCCATCATTTTAAATGAGCAGTAGATCATTTGTAATCTG